TTACATGTCAAATTATTACAATTTATCAATAAATTAAATATACATTATAGGGCTGCTACCAGTCAGATTAAATAATTTACACTGCAAATAACAATAATTACAACTGCAACAAATAATGTTATGAGATTAATGTTTTAAATACATCTATGAGTATACAAATAAGAAATGTTGAGGGGAAAAATGCATACTTTTCAAAATACTTCTCAACTGAACTTCCAGTAAGTGTCGGTAAATCACTTAATGAGTGAGAATTGAGTCATTCATTCAACTGATTGAGTGAGTTATCATGCTGCTATCTTAAGGACTTTCGTGGACAGCGGACTCCTAAAATTTTTAATATTCTTCATATTCTGTGTGGTGGTCAGATAGAAATTAATCTTTTCCAATAAGTTTAAATAGATTTTTACCTTTTATGGGCATTTTACCTTTATAAAGCCATTTTTCTATAAGTGTGCATTATCTTTTGAGTCAAATTCTTACATTTAATCAGTGAATAAGAATAATAAGACATTTGGGCTGTTACCAAGCAAAAAATCAGTATCAACAAAATTCATCTTTGCAATCCAGACATAAACTGCATCTGAAGTGGCATTTAGAAGTATTTACACACAGTTTAATGCAGGACATGAATGCATTTAACCTGCAGTTACAAATGCATAAATAATATTTTGATATATTAAACATAAAATATTGAATACTGATATTTGAAATAATTAAAAATGAAAAGATACTTTAAATATGAAATTAAAACCGCCAGTAGGTGGCAGTAAGTCACTGTTAAGTGAGTCATTGCGACTGAACCGAATCATTTAAATTAGTGATTCATTCAGGAACGAAACACAGTCATGTTGCTCCGAGACGCAAAACAGCGCTGTGGCTTTGTTTGGAATTATTTTTGTTGGCGAAATAGTGCAAGAACAGGCAATATGGTGTCTAAAACGTGGTGACTTAATACAGCTTCTAGTTTATTGAACTGTTGTAAAAAAAATCAATATCACATTTGTATGTGGTAATTTTTGGAGAAAAAAAGGCACTCCTCTGTGTGAACTTGAACTATATGAAGTGGTATAAATATACACATTTTCTGCCTCCATGTCTTGAATTTGTGATCATTCTGAATGTATTTTAATAGACTGAATCATGCAGTGAAAGAGCGCACTAGACTTAACAATGCGTGGACTCTGAAGGTGTTTTGAATGTTTTTTTGCGTCGTGAGAATATTGAGCAAAATAGCTCACTTGTCATGGTGTTATTTAAATATATCATGTTATGAATAAACTAAACATTTAGAATTTTTACCTCAGTGTGTTTCCATGTCTTGAATTTGTGATCATTCTGAATGTATTTTAATAGACTGAATCATGCAGTGAAAGAGCGCACTATACTTCACGTAATGCGTGGACTCTGAAGGTGTTTTGAATGTTTTTTTGCGTCGTGAGAATATTGAGCAAAATAGCTCACTTGTCATGGTGTTATTTAAATATATCATGTTATGAATAAACTAAACATTTAGAATTTTTACCTCAGTGTGTTTCTTCTGAGTTTATGTGTGCTGTCACGCTCATTTGTTCTGAAGTCTCGAGACAAACAGAGTGAGCCTCAGCGCGAGCTTGTATTCTGTATTCTGCTAACTTACTGCAATTCTCTCTGACGACGCAGTAACTTACCGCGGGTCAGTCAGAATGAAGATATTTTAGCGGTAATGAGACCAAAAATATTTAAGACACATCGAATCCGAATTTAAGACTTTGTAAGACTTTTTAAGGCCTTATATTAGGAAAACGTTATTTAAGACTTTTTAAGGACCCGCGGACACCCTGTATTATTACTTTTTTTGCATAGATGAAAAATACTGTGATATTACTTAAAAATTTAGTTTTCATTATTACTTTAAAAAGTACATTCTATTGTTCAATAGTAATATTCAATTCAATTCATCATTTCTTTAAGGTAGACAAACTTTTATTTTTGCAGGTTGTAATGAAGATCTTTGGTTTCTGTGTGTTTTCTATAATTGTATTATTTTATTATGCCCAGCACTACATTGAAGGGTATATTACTTACGGGCATGTGCCAGGCTGAGAGCCCACAGGCGGAGGTAAGACGCAGTATTAGAGATGCAACCCAGGCAGTACTCTATAGTGTGGATGGACTGATGGAGGAAGACATCTGCAAAATCAAACTGTGGAAGAAAGGAAACTCTGTTAGGCTCATAGGGAAAGTAATTTATTCACACCAAACAATGCACCTAATTGGTTCTGAATGTCTCGCCTCCTCTGATTGGCTGTCAGAGCTGCAGGAGTGGCTGTCCAGACTGGTGCCCTCCTCCATATCATGAGCATGCATGAGAGAGAACTCCTCCTCACTGCTCCGCCGTACACGCTGATAACCCTACAGAGAGAGAAAGACAGAAAATCAGCCAACAGCCTTCAGCTAACTGGAGAACACACATAAACAAAAAGAGGATCCTCACCCGGTACATGCTCAGGCGGTCTCTGCCCTTGTGTTGCCAGTAGAGGTAGAGCGGTTTGCCCAATAGTAACACTGGCACAGAGAGCACGGCCACAATCACCAGGAACACCTGAAACCCGGCCTATGGGAAAGAGGGAAAATAAATATCAAGAAAAACAGATGTGCATGTAAAGTGGAATGGATGCACATATGGTTCTTTGAGTCCCACCTGTCCTGGGTAGAGGGTTTGACTGGAGTCCCCCTGCATCAGGAACATGTTGATAAAGTGGATGAGAATGCTGGGAGCTGTCTGAGAGTCTCTGACTGTGAAAAACAGCCACTTATAAATGATCATGAAGACCAGATAGCCGAAGAGGCACAACAGGAAGAGCAGCTCAGGCAGAAATATCAGGTACAGATTGAATGTCCGTCTGAAGTGCCTGAACACATGAACATATGAAATATTAGAAAGACCAAAGTCATAACATTGGAAACATCTATCAAAAATATATTTTAAAATGTCTCACAGGTGATTGAAAACACCAAGGACGACTCCAAAAGTCATGTGGATTATTCCTACGATCACAGACATCTTCATCTTATAGGAGTTCAGGAAGGTGAGACGGTTTGACGCCAGGTTCCAGATCTACAGTGCAAATAAAATATTATTAAACTTGGATGTAAAAATAATTATATATTTTGTCATAGCTTGCCATTCAACTATGTAACCTTTCACCCACAGTTACTTGTTTTTATGGTGATGTGATAGTAAAGTAATTTGTTTCATTTTATAACAGCAAAAAAATGAAGTCCGAGACCTACCGGATCAATGCCCAGAGGATATGGCCCGTTAAAGACTCCTGTGACATTTGGATCCAGTGCAAGGAAGCTATTTGATCTGACCACGTGTTCACTTGGGAGAAAGAGAAAATGAACATCACATCAGAGCCACATATTTTCCAGGAGAATTCTCTGTGCCTGTTGTTTCCTACAGTAAGGTAATAAATAAGATTTATTTTGCCGTCAACATTTTGGACTTGTAAAATTTCAAAGCTGATTTTCAGTAATTTATTGACTTAATCAGCTTTCTGACTGCAGGGATTACACTACAGCTCACCAAGGCTGCATTTATTTGATCAAAAAAATACATAAAAAAACAGAAATATTGTGAAATAGTTTTACAATTGAAAATAGCTGTTTTCTATTTTAATAAATCTTAATATGTAATTTATTCCGGTGATGAAAAAGCTCAATATTCAAACGCTAATACTACCGTCTTCAGTGTCACATAATCATTCAGAAATCATATGCACGTACATTTTTCCAGAATACTTTAATGAATAGAAAGTTCATAAGAACAGTAATTGAAATTGAAATTGAAATCTTTGGCAACATTATTAATGTCTATACTGTCTAATACACCTCTTCAAACAGTGTCATTAAACTCAAAATCGTTAGAATTGACTTGCCTTATGTGTGAATTTGGATTAAACGGACTCAGGATATACAAGTAGCAGCTGGCTATACAAGTAGCTGATCAAATAAACGTGCTTTAGTGAAGCCCTGATTTCATCTCTACAGAAACATGGTATGCTGTGCCCACATTTTAAAACATTTATTAGATAGACAGATAACAGAAATTTAGCATACTACATATTAAATCATATGTTGCACAATGTGTACTGTATACTTTTTTTTGTTTAGTTTTTTTAAAAGGATGCAGTACACAATATGTTGTGCTTTGAACACTCACTTCCAGCCTCCATGATCATACATGGCACGGACGTTCCACCCAGAGCCAAACAGGTTGAGTGACTTGGAGAAGCAGTCATTGTAGATTAACCCAGTGTAGACTGAAAATATACCCATCAATAGGATGATGTAACGGCCCTCGAAAAAAATGTTCCAGATCTAAAAAAAAAAAAACAGTAACAATGTTAATCAAACTATAACAAAAACAGTCAACTAATACTAGACTAAATAACTTTTAACAACCATGTCTAAATGAATTGCAGAAGAAAATGAACACTGTCATAACAGCAAGCTGCATGTACCTCATTTCTGGTTTTCTTCAGTTTGCGGTCATTCTCATAGAGAACCATCCACAGAGCAAACAGTGCCATGATGACGCCATGCCCGAGGTTTCTGTCACGGCAGAGAAGAGTCAGGATCCAAGTGCGAGTGCAAAAGGTAAGGTTTATTTGTAATCACAAACAACGGAGACAACAAAGATAATCCTCGGGTCCAGGTCCGAATCAGAGCTCCACAGAGAAATCCCTTCCTCCACTGCGTTTGACCAAACCAAGGAGAAGGCTGAAGATCTGTACCCTGACTGAGCGAGAACTGGAAACAGAGACTGACAAGGAGACAGGAACATGAGGATAACGAACCGACAAACACACATTGAACAGAGTGCCCTATATAGGACTCGTTAACGAGTTGCAGCTGGCGCGCTCTAATTGAGCGCCAGCTGCAAACACTAATGAATGACGTACGCACATACAACCACATGACAAGACACAGAAAGACCGTCCGGACCCATGAACCGTGACAGGAAGAGAGTGCTGGTCATTCACTCCCCCCACCTACAATCCCTGCCGGACCTGAGACTCAAACCCACAACCTTCGGGTTACAAGTCCAACTCTCCATCCATTAGGCCACGACCGTCCCCAGAACCAACAGCATATTAGACAGGTGGAATTAATCTCACTGTTTTTATGAAGGGTTTTAAAGTAGCTTCTCCAAGACCAGCTTTAATGCTGGTCCTCCTACAATTGCTAGAGCTGTTCTTCTGTCAGGCACTATGTGTGTTTCACAGATGTTTGGGCTGAAACAGTGCATTTAAACCTGTGCCTAGGCCTTATCCTACCTCCCTGTGTCGCTTCTCATCCTTTAAACATTCAATCTTTCTTTCATTCTCTTTATCCTGCTCTTAATGTGTCAGTGGGAAGACTTCGCTATTGTTTGAGCTTATTGCTGGAGACCTAGCGAGGCCATTAGTCTCAAACAGCTAAATTACCCTCTTTCTCTTCCCGTCTCATCCCTATTTTAAAAGTAATAACACAGGGAAAATGTCCCCTCTTTTCTTCCGTTCGATGCCATCCTCCACTTTAGGAAGGGAGTGATTCAGAGGGGAGAAAGATGAACTGTGAGAGGTAGGGGTTTAAAATAAGTGATAGGTGTATGGGGAGGAGGGAAATTGGAAGGCGCCCTTGGCACAATACAATAAAAACATCCTGTAATTTGCAGTGACTCCCTACACTCACCTCCCTCTGTGTCAAAAAAAATATTATTGATGTCTTCTAACCCATTTCAAAAATCACAGAAACCGGAAAAAGGTTACACACAATAAAACCATTATAGATGTGCAAGGAACTAAACATAAAGGCTTGTCAAAGTTGTCTCAAAGAAGGTGTCGTTTTGGTGTTCATTTGACAGACAATATGAAACAGTAGTGTTAAAGTTGTCGTGTTTACTAAACTCACAGGTAAACTAAGTAAAATGTGAAAAGCCTCATCTTCAATACAGTAATCTTCAATAAGCTTACCACTAAATGATGCATTAGGGTACTATGTACCCTTAAGTATGAACCTTTTAGTGCAATAAGGTCCAAAGGTCCACGAAGTCCCTTTATTGATATTGCTCCAATAACCAGTTGTTGTACCCAAAAAGGTACAGTTTTGGACATTTTTTGAGTGATTTATTTTCCCAATTATGGTTCATACTTTGCTCCAATAGCCTCCACAACTATATTGGAATAGGCCTATTCCAACATTTTTTTCTTGCTATTTCCATTGGGAAAAAGCTGGAAAGTTCACTCTTGTTATGTTAAAATGTATTTTTAGATATTTTTGACTGTAATTTAATCATCTCATTTAAGGGTTAGTTCACCCAAAAATTTAAATTAGCCCATAAATTACTCACCCTCAAGTCATCCTAGGTGTATATGACTTTCTTCTTTCAATCCAGTCGGAGTTATATTCAAAATTGTCTTTGATCTTTGAAGCTGTTTCATGGCACTCAGCGGGTGTTGCATGCATCAGTCCAAAAGCACTTAATTAAAATGCACCCATCCATAAAAAAGAAAGTGTCTCACATGGCTCCGGGGGCTGAACAAAGGCCTCCTGTGGCGAATCGATGCGTTTTTGTACGAAAAATATCCATATTCAAAATGTAATAATCACTTTAAAGGTGCTGTATGTAAGTTTTTGACTCCACTAAAGCATAAAAATACCATAATATGTTTGCAGATATTTAAGAAACGTGCTAAGTTAACATACTTGTTTATCTGAAAAACAATGCTACAGTCAGTTATTCTCCTTTGAAAATGTGTGTTCCGGGCCAGAATGTCGGTCTCTTGTTTGACTGCGTCAAGTCTGAGGAGGAGGGGCCGGGTGAAAAAAACCCTCTCCAATATTTTGAATTTGGACTGCAATACCTAGTTCAACCACTCGGTGTCAATCCTACACACAGCACCTTTAACCACTGATTTCTAATCGTGTCCTCTTTTGGAAGGCCAAACAAAGTAGTTTCGCTTTCACAATGAAACACACAGCATCACACACGGTGGGCCTGAGTGAGGAACGGCCAGTGGGCTAGAGTGAGCGGAGGACGGCTGATTCGACGAAAGAGTGGCCGGCCTCTTATCTAAGCATATGTATGAAGCATTGAGGGCATGTTAAACCTGCTAACATGAAGTCAATATTAATGTTAAAATGTAGTGTTTTTTTTATCGCTATCCTCTCACCTGGATTGACCTCTCTGTAGCTGCTTACGCCGTAGGCATCCACTATATTCTGAAAGCCTGAGGTAAACTTGTTGGTGCGTATGAGGGTTGGTGGAGTGTCGTTGCTCGGGATACGATTGACAAATGAGGGAACTGTGGCTCCACTCTTCCTCTGAAGGAACAAAACAATAGTTAAGAGATGTGTGCACAATTATTAATCAGATGTATCTGAATTAGTGCACCTTTGAAATGATGTGAAGTACTCACCGATCCATCTTCTAGAGCTCTCCGAAGTGCGGGCAGATCATTCACGGGACACCAGACCTCCGCTATGAGGCACTTGTTTGTGACATCAAAACTGCAGAGGTTGAGGATGTGATATATGGCCTTCATTTTCTTAACTTGGATCACCCAAATGTACACAGACTCTGAGGCCTTGATCAACACCTGCCTCAGATAGTCCTCAGTACGGTGAAGAACCTACACATAAACCATCCAAATTAATTCAACAACGGTTTCAAAACTATGTCAAGCTAAAACATTTTGCATATAACATTAAGTGTTAAACATAGCATATAGTGGTTTAACCAGGGGGCCTTAGCAAACTTCAAAAAGGGGCAGCAGGATTACTTAAAATATTTCATATCTACTTATTTATTATGAAATTATATATTACTCTAATGCACTGTAATAATCTGAATTAAAATGCTAAAAATAAGTAAACTAGTATATTTCTTTTCTAAACTTTTTTCCCCTCAACAACTTGTTTTTATTGAAGAACACAGTTCTTAAAATTTCTGCAATCACAAAATTTATGTAATATATCTCTCAGATTGTGTTGATAAGTTTGAAAACAAGCAGTTTTGTCATAATTACAGCAGAAAAGAAATATTTTAACCTGTATAAGGGACTTTGTAGAAAACGATAGTCCACCATACAAGGCATTTTGCTGCCCTGGTTTCTGAACTGTGTTCTCAGATGAGGATGCAGTAAAAGCATTTTGCTGTGCTCTTCTTCAAATATATTATCAATCCTGTGAGGAACATTTTCTAAGCACAGAAACAACCCAATTTACTTTTCATGATTGAGCCTTTCTATTTTCATAGGTCTTGAGAAGAACAGCGAGTGTTGAGAGTATCGAATATACATGATTCACTGGTGCCTGTAGTCTGTGAGAAACTTGTCCACAGTCTCATGAACATCATGTGCTGAGCTGGACCACTAACACAATTTTCTTTCTCTCTTTTACAGAGCAGTCACAACCAAACTTAAATGCCCTCAAACCTAACCTGCCCCCCTACATTCCTCTACTGCATGGCTGTCTTGAATTGGTTAGGAAAGATTAGTGACGTAAATCCAAATAATTCTAATGTAGATTCTATTACATACACTTTCTGCTCTTTTAGATGTAGTATCTGAAGTACCCTCCACCACTGAAGACAGAGAGTGCAATCAAACCCTTCCATAATTACAGCCCATCATTTATTACTGTGCATGATGCAAAACTCCACAAACCTTCACACATTTCTGGAGCTGCAACTAACAATTATTTTAATAATTGATTAGTTGGCCGATTGTTTTTTCGATTAATTGGCTAAAAAGCCTCTTTTTTTTTAATTGACAAAACACAATTCCATATCCTGCCCAATGCTGTCCTTCAAACAAACATGCCAACTAAATCCTATGAAAACATACTGTATGGTGAATATATCTCTATGCTACACATTATGTGTAAAAGAGTTATAAAGCAGTTTAAATGGACAGTTTAAACAGACAAATGAACAAAGGGCAGTTTAATTCCCTATATTAAAAATGGAAATAATAATGATGAAGATAGTAAAGAAAAACACAAACTCAGTGTTAACATAAGAAGAATGTTCTGCAGGAACACACATTCAGATTAGTTGGCCGATTGTTTTTTCGATTAATTGGCTAAAAAGCCTCTTTTTTTTTTAATTGACAAAACACAATTCCATATCCTGCCCAATGCTGTCCTTCAAACAAACATGCCAACTAAATCCTATGAAAACATACTGTATGGTGAATATATCTCTATGCTACACATTATGTGTAAAAGAGTTATAAAGCAGTTTAAATGGACAGTTTAAACAGACAAATGAACAAAGGGCAGTTTAATTCCCTATATTAAAAATGGAAATAATAATGATGAAGATAGTAAAGAAAAACACAAACTCAGTGTTAACATAAGAAGAATGTTCTGCAGGAACACACATTCACTCTGAACACAGTAACCTGTTACTGTCATTTCTTTATTCAGTAAATATAAGAAACATCTTACATTTATATTCAGTCACACTCTGTTATCCCTTTACAGTTACTATCATAAAATACTTGAAATCCATGTTGACTTTTAAACCTAAATTTAACGTCCAATAACAGATATATCAGCAAAATTAATATCATTGTGCAATATAAGAAACGTCTTACATTTATATTCAGTCACACTCTGTTATCCCTTTACAGTTACTATCATAAAATACTTGAAATCCATGTTGACTTTTAAACCTAAATTTAACGTCCAATAACAGATATATGATATATCAGCAAAATTAATATCATTGTGTTGAATATTACTTTTCTCCTTCTTTACTGCGTTCCGTCTGTTTGACATGCGTGCGCTTGCCGGCGCTCGTTCAGTGAAGTCTGAAGTTTAACGCTGTTACATCCCAAGGCGTAATTATTTTTATTTATTGTATTTTGTTGTTATATTTGTGCAGTATTTGATATTGCTGCTATGTAGATGCAGTTTGCCTTTTGGTAGTGTTGTGGTGTTTTGTTTTCTCTCTCTCTCTCTCTCTCCCCCCTCTACTCCATGCAAAGCTTAATGAAGATCAGCTGATCCTAGTTGTCATCAACCACTGGCTTGCTTTGATTGGCTGCTGGAGGGAGGGCTTGTGGATAAAGCTGGAAACTCTGTGTGAAGCGGCCCCTTCTTTGCCTTCACTGCCTCCGGAGACGGTTTTCTCCTGTCCCAGACATTAGCATGTGTGCTAGTTGTTCACGTGTTCACCATTGAATCTTTGGAGAGATGTTGTAGCTTTGTCTTACTCCGGTAAATTCACAACTTGAGATTTAAGTTCAAACTTTATAATTGCTATTTTTGGAGAAGTAGGGAGGTGGATGGCTTTTTTTAATGTCCATGTTTTCTCCTGTTTTTGGTTAGAAAGGGAGTAAGGTAAAGACTTCTGTTGTTTATTTTTAACATTGTTTTGTGAGTTTAGAAAATACTCCTCCCCAAGTTAGACCTTTTATGTTTGTCGTTTTGGCCTGGTCCCCTCCCAAAGCTTTATTTGCTCCCCTCTTTGTACATTTTTTTTTTGTTTGTTTTTTTTTTGTCGTCAAATAAACCATTTTTCCTGTGTTACAAAAATCTGTGTGATTTTTGTGGAGTGCTGGGACAGGAGAGAGGAGTTCCTGATTGCCTATTGAGTTTTTTTTTTTCTGGCTTGCATTTGTAAATTTCCTTGTTACCCACCCTTGGATCACGCATCTTTCCCGCAGCAGCTCACTCCGATTCATCCGCTATTTTTAGATGCATGTCATCTATAAAAATGCATTATTCACTGTTGTAATTTGACGTGAATGGCGAAAGTTTTCCATGCGCGGTGGGCAGATGCGACTAATCGATAATGACATTCGTTATTGATTATTTTCATTATCGGTTATTATGATTAGTTTCCTGACCCTAGATTAGGGAGGCACGTAACAAACGCAGACTGTCAGGACGAGCCTTCATGCAAAATAGAAACACTCGCGTGAATATGTAACATTTACAGAAAAGGATATTACCGAAAAATGCAGTTTATGCACTGAGGAAACATATCTCCCAGATTAAACCGCATGTGCATCTGGCAAAGTGCCTGACAGGATAAGCAGTGTTAAACATTATGCTAATGCATTAGCTTGAAGTTTAAAATAAAGCATTCATGTTTCAGGCAGCTTGGATCACGCATCTTTCCTGCAGCAGCTCACTCCGATTCATCCGCTATTTTTAGATGCATGTCATCTATAAAAATGCATTATTCACTGTTGTAATTTGACGTGAATGGCGAAAGTTTTCCATGCGCGGTGGGCAGATGCGACTAATCGATAATGACATTCGTTATTGATTATTTTCATTATCGGTTATTATGATTAGTTGTATATGATTATATTATGATTAGTTGTTGCAGCCCTATTTCATTTCTATAATTCCTGTTAAAATTTTATTTTTGGCTAATTTGTACTTTACACAAGTACTATTGAAACAATATATTTGCACTTTTTATTCCGTTACATTTCTAAGAAAAAATATATTTTGTTTCTCTGAACAAGTGAGATCATGTTTGTGTGAATTTTGTTAAGCTTTTATTGAAAATAAGCAATAAAATCCTTATTACAATAAAATTGGCTGCCGCTGAATTTAACAGTCAAGTTACAGCTTTGAGGTTTCAGTTTAAAGGGGTCATATGATGCTTTTTTTAAAGATCATTATTTTGTGCTTCATCTTTCAAAATAAATGTAAAGACAGAGCCCGAAAGGGGAACAGAGTCGCGTGACAGACACAGTGATGAAGCCGGTATGTGTTGTATGCAGTACACAAGCCACGGTTAAGACAGCTGCCCCCACTGTGATCTCTCTCTCACTCTGTCACACACACACGATGCGCAAAACTCCAGATTTGAACAGTCAATAGCAAATACTTCAACTAATAACAAAACAGTAGCTGATTCAGAAGCGCCAGATTGTCATAGCAAAGTCAGAATGACCTCCTCTCCTAGGTTCACGAAACGGTCGTCCATAAAATGCATTGCTGTTCTGTTGTAAGTAATCTTAAAGATTCCTAAAATGCATCTACTTTTGGAAGGCCAAATGAAGTGCTTTTGCTTTCACCTAGAAACTCACAGCGTCTCCCTGACATGGCTGCTTCAACATTAACTGCGGTTACTGAAACCGCGCCTTCTTTCTTCAGGTGCACATTTGGGCGGCATTAAGCTAATATTTCCACATAGTGAGGTAGATATGTGGGGGCGTGTTAGAACGAGCCGTTTTCAGGGGGCGTGTCTCTTTGGTTTTGAGACTTTAGTCTTTGCAACTTCAGGGATCTTATCTATGCACAATCAGCTTGTAACACTCCAAAGAGAAAGGAAAACTTGAAATCGCATCATATGACCCCTTTAACATCTGACGTGTCTTACAGCCTTCCCTGGTAAAGACAAAACTGTGGTTATACGGGATGCTTGAACATTTTGTGCTTTAAAGTTGCTTTTAAGACAACTTCAACTGTCCTGATTTCATCAGTCAGTTTCAAAAGACGTTTAAAGTACAGTTAAACGTCAAATATTTTTTACAATTTTTTATCTCCAATAAAGATTAAGCTGAGCTTATTAGTAACTAAGTTAAAGGTAAAAAAAAACTGGCCAGTAAATGACTAATCACACTTGTGAGATCACACTTACACCACACTTATTCATGATCCACACAGTCAAAATGAGAAAATGTGTCAAACTGTAACAAGGGTGAAACCGAGCTCATCTGGACTCACCGTGTGCAAGTCCTGAATGCGTGTATGGAGCCCCTGCACCACATCTGTCCTCTCCTCATTACTGTTGGGGTATGGGTACAGGTGACAGTGGTAGCTATGGAAACAAAAACAGCCTTACTTAAAACTAAAACTACAGTACTTCTACTTTCTCTTAAGAACAAAAACACTCGGAAAGAAATAAAATAAAATTAAGAAATGAAAGCATGAAGTTTCCCCTACATGTAATAAGGAACAAGCTATTTATAATCTTTATGAAAATGGAGTAGCTCCCCGCCTGTCTCTGTGGCGCAATCAGTTAGCACATTGGTGGTTAACTGCCACAGATATGCGGTAGCTCAACACAAAGTTATTTAAACCAGACTGATTAACACAATCACCTCAAGTAGAACGTAGGAAGTTGAATTAAGAGCTAAATTACCAGTCACAAATCTTCTTAACTTTCTGTCCAATCTGATCTCCCCAGTAAGAGATGAGGAACACCACACTCCTGGTTGGCTCCCCCTGACAAACCAGACAAAGAACAAACAAACTAGACCATCTCAAAAGACTTGGACATTACAAATTTTAATTATTATTTATTTATTTAAATTATATCAAGCATCCAGCATTACAGTAAGATCTTGGATCAAACTGACCACAGAAAAAGAAACAAATATGTAGAAAATAATATTTAACTATAAATTTTGTTACCAAAAACAACATATTAAATCAAACTACGATGGAGATGCCAACTGGTCTCACCGTATCAGGGTCCTCCAGAAGTCCGTCTACCTCAGAGTAGTTGAGGATGGTGTAGCCCTTACACACTCTCCAGAGCATTCGCTCAAATGCCTCGATTTTTACGCTCTGGATCAGCCCAGAAATGAACCTGTGCAGGAGGGACAGAGGAATAAGAGCTTTACTTTACAAAAGTAACATGAATTCAAAAACTGACATTACCACAGGTATTACCATCAGTAAAACCACAGGTTTTGCATGCTTTTTAACATGCATACAAGAAACAGGATGTTGAATAACAGCGGAGATCTTATGGGTGAAAGTTACTGATTTTAAAGTCCCCCTGTGGTGAAAATCAAGTTTTTTTATGTTGTTTATTTGTCTATGTGGTGTTTTTAATATGCTTTTAAACAAACCATGTGCCAATCCATTTATCAACACCATTACTGAGTATTTTCTCCTTAAAACTGTAGTTTCCCAAAGGCAGTCACAGAAACGCGGTTTGAAACAGCCTTTTTTTGGCTACGTCACAAAATTCAATAACCAATCGCGTCAAGGGATCCTATCCTTAGCATATCATTAACTGTGCTGCAAAGCAGAGGGTCTAGTGAGAAGGCAGCCAGGTTAATCCAGTAACAGTTATATTTTTTCTGTAGATGTTTCGCTAACTGTTAATATTTCCCCCTATTTTCACGATGTCATGTGCTGTTAGCGCTTATTTATTTGTATTTAGAACCGCTAACTTGAATAATAACCCGCGGTAGCAGTGTAAAAGTAGCCCGGAGTCAGACGCACCTCTCCCGCATTGACATCTGCACGTCACACGTGTATGATCGCGGGCGCGATTTAGAATCACAAACTTGGCTGCATTTGAGTCTTCAAGGCATTTTGAGGACACAACATCGTCAAGTAAGTAAATTTAACGAATGTTACAGTATCCATTGTAGTTGTCCGCTAGTAAAAACAGTTTTATCAGTCATTATCCTTGTACGAACCAGCGCAAACAGATAATGTTACCTCACGAAGTTAGCCATCAGTCTTCTTCCTTACGTTGAGCATACCAGCTTATTTCTGGTTCAAACACATATGGCTTAATTAAACCAATATTTCCTCACACCATTGCCATTGTATCGCGTTTACTACAGTTCAGTTAGTGAATCAGGAGGCGCTGGCTGGTGTGTGACTGAGTGGAGGAGGGGCTAATTTGCGTATTCATAGATCCGCGTATAGTAAATGAGGCAAGGGTGTAGAGTTGCATTCAAGCTATTTTAAGGCATGAGAAAATTATTTTCACAAGAAATTAATGTGTCATTTTGATGATCAAAGATGAGTTTTAAAGTATAAAAGTTTTGACTACAGGGGGACTTTAACAGATGATTTTAAGAGAAAAACCAGTCTGCACATGGAAGATGAGCAACAGCAAACTGCGCTGATGATGAAAATTTCGTCACATCTGTTGGTGAGCCAAAGCAGGACTTGGGCAAGGGCAGTATACTTTCAGCTTTATGTTTTTAAGCACTGCTCACCCAAGCTTGGCTCCAAGCCTCTGCATGCTGGTGTAGTCCATCATTGGTTCTTTCTCTAGGAAGGGAAACTCTTCATACTGGACCCGCGACGGCTCTCTCTGCTCATACACAAGCAAAAACACAGCAAGAGATTAGATTCACACACATACACACATCGTCTCTGTGATCAAGAAGAGGTCAAGAGTTAAGCCTATTTGTAAAGCCACTGCTGGCTGCTCTCAAAGTTCTGACATGCAGTGAAAATCAGGCGACTCCAAGTCACCTTCGTGATTCCCACAGTCCTGCTCTCATCTCTCTGCTCATACACAAGCAAAAACACAGCAAGAGATTAGATTCACACACATACACACATCGTCTCTGTGATCAAGAAGAAGAGGTCAAGAGTTAAGCCTATTTGTAAAGCCACTGCTGGCTGCTCTCAAAGTTCTGACAGTCAGTGAAAATCAGGCGACTCCAAGTCCCAAGTCAACCTTCGTGATTCCCACAGTCCTGCTCTCAGGAGATTAATTCCTTTCAATTACACCAGAGAGGTCGAACATGATCAAGCACCAAAGACATCAACAGATACAGAGAAACAAAAGCCAAAATGCAGACAGTACACAGAGTGAGAAGTTTTAAAATGGGGCTGTTCGATTAAAAATATCAGTGTGATAATGAAGGACAAATGAAGGTTAAATCTTTCATCCAGTGAAAGATGGATGAAAAAGTTCCAAACATATGACAGGCAATCACATGACCTACCTCTGCACTGCGGTGCACAAAGTTGCGTGTGATGTGCAGCATGTGTGTGTACTCAGTCAGTTCTAGAAGGTTCTTCTGGAGTTTCTCCTTGTTTCTGGTGACCTCACTCAGCTCCAGTTCCAGTCTCTGAAGTTGCTCCTAAACAAAGCATACAGGAATCGGTAATAACTAAATATCAGCAGTCATATCAATGTTGTAAGCAGTGCGGTGTTCCTGAAAGAGGGATTTCAACTGACTAAATGACATCCAATAGATACAATAAAATGATTAAATAAAGGCATGTCCAACTGATGGATAGCCAAAGAAGATTTAAGAAAGGACCGATCACAATTCAGTAAGCAAAAAATGTAATGAGATCATAGCTGTAAATCTAAACTTGAATGGCAAACATTTGTAAGAAAAAGTGATGAGGACGTTGAAGATCTTGATGAAGATGTTTATTTCAGCATGGCAGTGACAAAGTACATGTAGTACCCTGGGTTCAACGGAGTCGGAATGAACCCCAAACATCCTAAGCTCAAACATTTTATACTCGATTACATTCATCTTCCCGCTCAACATGTAAATGAAGTTTAGTTTTAAATGTAACAATGAAAGTGATAGCCTTCCGTTCCCACATCTTCAGGTGGGAACAACCAAATGTTAAGGTGATAAGATTAAGCAGAATCCCTAGCAGTTATTTGATGTAGCCTTTTGGTCAGCAGATGGTTCTTGATGGCCTGCTGCTGCTCCTACGCTATAAGTGACAAATTATTGCTCCGAAGGTACTATTTACATATTAAGATCGGAAAGAACTATCTCTATGATAATTAAGCTCTTTGTAGGGAAGGGAGCATAGTTTAATACACAATTTGGAGTGGAAGCTGGGTCGAGGCAGACTATAATTTCTTACACATTCTATCAGTGTAAATCAATGGAAACATTTTTTAACTTTCAATTTGTTATATTTAGTAAAAATGTATCTCTTAATCCACCTTATTCTGACGCCCCATGACGCTTTGTGCGAATTATAGGCGTAACTTCCATTAAACTGTAAACAATCAGTGAAAGGCTCGCTCTATGAACGCAAATTACGCAATAATTCTATTTTTTTTTTTTTTTACATTTTTATGAATGAGATGACATTATTCTACTCACCCTTCAACCGTCAAACATTAAAATTACATTTAAAAGTGTAAAAGCATAAACAATGTACTAGGGGTGCTCCGATTGATCGGCTACCGATCACTATCGGCCGATAATCACGTTGGGATGATTGATCGGCGGTCTCTAAAAAGGCCGATCCCAAGCTGATGACGCTGCCATGAAAGGTTTGGCACGACATGCAGCGGCACCGTCTCAGTCCGGCACGGGTGAAATAATTATAATGCAGAAGGTGAGGTACTCACCTTCATATTTCTTCATTAAATAACTTTATAAAGTCATTTGAAAACCTTGTGTGAGATGTAATTTTCACAAACAGCGTGAGTGAATCACCACACGCGTGCTCACTTTCTCTCTCAAAATACACAAATGGCTTCAAATCACCACATTGCATCTGTCTATAAGTGAGCTGTACGCTGCACAGTTGACAGGAATTGTCACTTGCACAATCGAGGCAGTGTCACATCGTCACTAAAGTTTATAAATTGCATTACTTTTAAATTCTTGCCGGTGTTTAACCATTCAGCGCTCGCGCGCTCTCCTGCAGACCGTGCGCTCATGCACACTCGCAGCACACACACATAATGCCAGGTTCACATTACTCCGATGCAGTGCATATGTGGTGCGTATTTTTTCCGCACTCATGTTAACGGATTAATAAAGCGTGCACACTCTCTTGGCACACTGCGCACGGTTGCGGTCCGGCAGTGCGTTCCGAGCGGTGCGTCTGCAGCAGTGCAGAGATCGTTTTCACACCGAATATGTTTGCTGCGCTGCAAGCGCTGAATTAAAGTAACAGCGCATTGTTTGCAGTAAATATGAACATGGATTGACACGAAAATGTAGTAATTACACCATAAATGCATATTATTAAAGTCTACTGTGTTTCACAATCAACACATATGGCTTTTTGGCTAGGTTTAAAGGAAAATATCACTTTTAGATAAACAAGGCAATAATAGATGGCGCCATGGAGGTAGGAAAACAAAGTTCTTTATGAACGGCAGGATTGCTTGTAATAAAGATTTCAATGCAAAAGGAAAGGCAGTAGAGCTGACTGTTTCTGTCAATGGTAAGTTTGTGATAACGTAAGAAAAGCAGTTTAAATGTTTTGACACTTGCTTGAGCAACTTAATATATAAATCTATAAGTAAATGCAAAAGTAAAAAGCATTGAATAATGTGTTGCTTATATTTATTGTGTTTAAACATGTCTGTGAATGATTGTATTACTGTACTGTGTAAAAGAAAATAATTGCAATGCTGAAAAAGCATTTTCAGCGACAACGTTTAAATTTGAAATCAAAATAATGGATAAATGTTGTGTTTGTGGTAAACAGCCACGGATCAGTAGCGGACTCTTCTGTGAAAGCACAGTCCGTGCTGCTTCCCCTCTCACAAGAGTCACCTAAGAGGGGAATTCCCCCCCATTTTCAAAAATGAAATTCAGGCCCTGAATAAATGTCTAAAAATCCTGATTGGAGTATCACTATAAATGGTTATAAATGATTAAAAGAAGGCTTTAAAAAGATTGGTATCGGTGATCGGATCGGCAGATACTGCTTTCCGTGATCGGCCTCAAAAACCCTGATCGGAGCACCCCTACAATGTACTTTCAACAGACCATGAATAACCCCAAAAGCGCGATTCTTTCCACAGCAATAATGGACGGGTGAAATATCACTGTAGTAATATATATCTGTATTATGTAACATATGTTGCCTTAATCAAAAATGTTCATTAATTTCAGCATTGCGTGATACTACTTCAAAGTGATTTCCATCATTTTGACAGATAATAAATTGTATTTACCTGTGAAAAGAGAAGTGAGGATTTGAAGAGAAAAACGAGAGATTCTTCATGCATTCCAGTGAATTATTAAAGGGATAGTTCACCCAAAAATGAAAATTAGCCCATGATTTACTCACCCTCAGGGCATCCTAGGCGTATCTGACATTCCTCTTTCAGACGAATCCAATTGGAGTTATATTAAAAACTGTCCTTGCTCTTCCAAGCTGTTTAATGGCAGTGAATGGAGCCCCTGTTTTTGAAGCCGAAAAAAAGTGCATATATCCATCATAAAACTACTCCACACGGCTCCGGGGTGTTAATAAAGGCCTTCTGAAGCGAAACGATGCCTTAGTGTAGGAAAACCGTAATCTCCAGCTTCCGGTCGCTCAAGCAGGCGCGTTCACAACAAGGCTTTCAAGCGTATGACGTAGGCGTAGCAGAAGGTGCAACGTAAGCTCTGGGGAGAGTGACGAATGCGTAAGCACAGAAGAGAAAGCAAAAATGTCACAGTATTTCGATATAAGGCAAGAGGAGAATGAGTTTTTTGCCCAGCCATATTTGTTTGAACCAGAGTATACTGACCACAGGAACTCTGCGAGATGGAGGAGGCAGCAGCGGCGGTGGCACAAACTACAGATGTAGTTCACGTGGTTTTCCTGTGCTGTAAACAAAACTTGGTTCTCGCCAGACTACACTCTCCCCGGAGCTTACATCGCACCTTCCGCTACACCTATGTCATATGCTCGAAAGCCTTGTCGTGAGCACGCCTGCTTGAGCGACCGGAAGCTGGAGATTAGTTTATACATTTTAAAAATCATTACTTTTCTTACACTAACGCATCGTTTCGCTTCAGAAGGCCTTTATTAACACCCCGGAGCCGTGTGTAGTAGTTTTATGATGGATGTATGCACCTTTTTCAGCTTCAAAAACAGGGGCACCATTCACTGCCATCAATTGGCTAATTTTCATTTTTGGATGAACTATCCTTTTAATGGTATATATCGTAAATTAAATCGGGAGAACACACCACAAATGTGCAGTATATGTTGTCATTTTTCATACTATGACAGCAGAATGCAAAGGGAAAAAATTAAATAATCATAAGGAATAGAATGCTGCGACAAGAGCTCTTGCCAAAGATATTCTTGTTATAACATGTCACGTTAAAATACCAAGCGTTATGTTATTCTCATGATGTCTGAAAATAAAACATGAAGGAAAATCGACAGCTCATTCAGTCAAACAGACGGATAAGCTTTATTTGTAGGGCAACCTTATGATTTGAAATTATTTGTTTCAGTTTTTTTTAATGGAAATTCCCCAAACCGGAAGTGCCACCCACAATTCAAAACGCAGTAGGCTCATTAGGAATAAGGTGGATACTTCAGCTAAGATTGAAATGAAACAAAACGTCTTGAATGGCGCCTATGCCTTAAGCAGCCATAAAAGAAAGAAAACAGAATAAGAATCAAGAAGCAGGAACTATCCTTTTAATGGTATATATCGTAAATTAAATCGGGAGAACACACCACAAATGTGCAGTATATGTTGTCATTTTTCATACTATGACAGCAGAATGCAAAGGGAAAAAATTAAATAATCATAAGGAATAGAATGCTGCGACAAGAGCTCTTGCCAAAGATATTCTTGTTATAACATGTCACGTTAAAATACCAAGCGTTATGTTATTCTCATGATGTCTGAAAATAAAACATGAAGGAAAATCGACAGCTCATTCAGTCAAACAGACGGATAAGCTTTATTTGTAGGGCAACCTTATGATTTGAAATTATTTGTTTGTTTTTTTGAATGGAAATTCCCCAAACCGGAAGTGCCACCCACAATTCAAAACGCAGTAGGCTCATTAGGAATAAGGTGGATACTTCAGCTAAGATTGAAATGAAACAAAACGTCTTGAATGGCGCCTATGCCTTAAGCAGCCATAAAAGAAAGAAAACAGAATAAGAATCAAGAAGCACAAGCAGAAACTAGGCAACTAGCAACTAGAAATTACATTTGAATGCGACTGAAAGATCAACTAATCACAAGAGCTAAACAAATGAACAGTGCTGAACTCACCATTATGACCATCACATGTTTGGGTAATGGTGCAGCTGGGTTCACCTCCTCTTCTGGCAGTGGGATGTCTTCTTTTTTAATTTCCTTCAGAAGATATCCTGTTATACAAGTCCACTTTGAGTTCATTCTGTTCATTTACTCTGGAAGATTTTCAGGCATTAATTGTCTGTTTCTCTGCAATGTCTTCACAACATATCAATGTTAACACTGAATTAACTCAGTTGAATGTACTATTTAGAACTCTATAAAAAGTAAATTACCTATAATGATCCTGCTCATCACTCATTCACAAATAAAAAAAATTTTTTAAGTTATTTTCTTCTGCTTAACACATTTCCTACTAGTAATACTACTACTGTTTTTGGTTATAACTCAACCATCATGAACATGCTTAGAGCTAAGAAAGAGTCTCAATACTTTCTGAACACAATCAATTTGAATTATGCCTTTATTAGATGAAGAATTTAACTGCAAAGTTTTTACCCAGAATCCTCTCCATCTCTTCACATCTCTTGATTTCACTGACAAACTTTCGCTGAAAAAGAAATGTGCAGCATTTTGTCCAAGCAATAATAAAAGGACACATTTAATTTATAATTTGTCTTAAACCTCATTTTGGGAAAAAAAAAATATCGCGAATCAAATCGAATCGTGAGTTGAGCGAATCGTTACATCCCTACTAATACATTCAATACAATAACTTTTATAGTATTTAATGTAATTAAAATATGTTAATAATAATAATTTAGAAAGATATTGAAATATGAAGGTGTCACGACATTTCTAAGTTTTAGAGTTAAACTTTGTATAAAGCTATGTTTATTAATGACTTAAGAGTAAATAGCATTGGTGCAAAGTGTGCTAAACAATGTTGTCACTTTTAAGAACCAGGAGGAAAGGGACAAGGCCATGAAGGCAGTGCACGGCATGCAATGGAAGAGTAAAGTGCTGAGTGTACGGCTAGCCAAGCCCAAAGCTGATCCCATCCTCAAGAAGAGGAAACTAGACGAGGAAGCAGAAGGTGGACAGCCTGGTACAAAACGTGCTGCGGGTAGCCAGGAGGTAGAGGAGAATGAAGAAGAGCCTCTCAATATCCAGATTGCCAATGTTGTGACACCCTTGTGGAACATACCTTATGAAGAACAGCTGAGAAGGAAAGAGAAAGAAGTTGAAGGTGTTCTCCAGAAACTGACCAGGTATTTTCTGATGGGTCTGGTGGCATGCATATGCATCAATGTCTTGCATATTTCCGTGTTAAATAGCAAAAATAGATAAATTATGTGACATTGTCAACCATATATAGTGAGTATAGAAAAGAATCACCCCCCTTTAAAATAATCACATTTTGTTGCTTTGCAGCCTGAAATGAAGACGGACACAGTTTTTGTTTTATCTAACTGTATTTACTCAGTGCAACTTATAACATTAAAGTGAAAGATATAACACTAACATGTCAGAAAAATAAAAAAAAACAGAATTACTTAGTTGGAAAAGGTTCACCCCCTTGTGTCAGTATTGTTGAACCACCTTTTGCTTTAATTACAGCCTTTAGTCCATTGGGATATGTCTCCACTAACTTTGCACAGCTAGTTTGCAATATTTGCCCACTCTTCATTGCAGAACTGCTGAAGTTCAGTTAAATTTGATAGTGACTATTTGTAGACTGCAGTCTTCGAGTCATTCCACAGATTAAGATTTTCAATGGGGTTTAAGTCTGGCCCTGACAGGCCATGCAAGGACATTCACCTTTTTCTCCTTCAACCATTGTGTGCTCAGGTTTGCTGTGGGCTTTGGGTCATTGTCATGTTGGAAGGTAAACCCTCTTCCCTTTGACAACTTTGGGCAGCAGATTGCAAGAATTTGACAGTATTTTGCCCAATCCATTTTTCCTTCTATCCTGACAAGTGCTCCAGTCCCTGCTGCAGAGAAACTCCCCCTTAACATGACATTACCACCTCCATGCTTTACTGTAGGAATGCTGTTATTTGGATGGTGAGCTGTATTGGATTTCCGTCAGACATATCATATGGTGTTGAGGCTAAATAATTAAATTTTAGTCTCTTCTGCCTTAGAATCTCCAAGGTGTGTTTTGGCAAAGCTCAGACTGACTCACAAGGCATGTGGCCTTTCTTGAGGAGTGGCTTTATTCTTGCAACCCTCTCATACAAGCTACATTTGTGGAGAATTTGTGATATTGTTGTCACACGCACACAATGACCACTCTTTGTCATAAATTCCAGCGACTGCTTCAGAGTTGCTGTAGGCCTCTTGGTCGCCTCTCTAACCAGTTTCATCCAGTTTGGAGCAACGTCCTGATCCAGGGAGAGTCTGTGTTCTACCAAATACCTTCCACTTCTTAATAATAGACTTCACTGTGCTTCTAGGCAGTGATAAAGCCTTTGGATTTTTTTTGTATTCATCTCCTGACTTGTGCCTACAACTTTATCCCAGAGATCTTTTGACAGTGTCTTGCCACCCATAGTTTATTGTTTGCTTTGTTTTGCACTACCAAGTACTGAAATGCTCTAGGAAAGCTCTTTTCATGCCGAGCTAATCAAAATGACCTTAAGCTGATCACAGTTGAAAGTCAAATGGCTATGTGTGCCATTGAGAAGGTGATTGGCTACACCTGATTTATTATACAAGTCATTTTTAGGAGGGGGTGATCCTTTTTCCAACACAGTGATTGTTGGTGTTATATCATTCACTTGGATGTTATAAGTTGCACTGAGTAAATACAGCTGAATAAAACAAAAACTGTGTCCATCTTCATTTCAGGCTGCAAAGCAACAAAATTTGATTATTTTTCTTTTCTATACCCACTGTAGTTCATACATGAGCTTCTGGTAGTGTAACAAGAGTTGGTCAGTAAACAGTAGTTTCCTTCAATATAACTCGCCTCCTTGATATTGGTTCTGTTCTTAGAGAAATAGGCAACAACAACAAAGCCATGCTTCCCTGGCTGTTTGTTCAAAAAGAGAAATACAACAAAATATGCTGCCCACTCGAGGCCTTACGACCATCACCTGTGCAGGTAAATCATCTATGTGCTCACTGCTCACATAAATTATTCTAATCAGTCACACTTTAATTAACTAACCAAAAATATTATAAAGTATCGTGGTATTACCAATGCATTCAGTATGCAGATTTTTTTTTTGATGGCTTTCAAAAGGGTCAAATGAACATTTCAGGGATTAAATGGATGCATAATTGCATATTAAATCATCCGTTTAATAGAATCTGGTTACAGAAATAAGATTAAGTGTGATTTGTCCTGTGCTTACAGACAGAGTACAGGAATAAGTGTGAGTTTGTGATTGGAGTGGGAGCAGATGGAGAGGATAAGACTGTGGGCTTTCGTTTGGGTAAGTATAAAGGCGGATCCTGTGCAGTAGTGAGTCCATCAGAAACCACCCATGTGTCTTCAGAGGCCAAGAGGGTTGTGCAGGGATTCCAGCAGTTCATCAGGTGAATTCATATTTTTTTATTTACTGCTGATTATACCTAATATGCATCCAAATCCAGCCATATTTATGAAGTGGAATGTGTTTTGAAGGTTTTTTTTTTTATTCCGGGGCAAAATATAAGTTTGCGTTACCCATCAGCCATTGTGTATGTATTTATTTCTATTTTGAAGTGTTTTGTGTGTTGATATTCTAAACAGGACAACCCCGTATGCAGTATACAGTCCAGAGACTTACGAGGGTCATTGGCGGCAGCTAACAGTAAGAACAAGCAGGATAAAGCAAACTATGGCCATTGTTTTCTTCAATCCACAGGTAATAAGAGATTTATTCAGTGGTTATTTGTGTGTCCACTTTAGATGTTGGTTATGTATTTTACAAACTGTGGCACTATTGTGACTGCTGTTTGAAATATTACATTTTTAAACAACCTAGAAACTCCAAGAAGAAGAAATTGAGGAACTGAAACAAAGCCTGCATCAGTATTTTACCGAAGGAAAAGAAAGTGGCATCACTTCTTTGTACTTTGTGAGAATGGGACAAAGGTAAGACCCTCAAAAATTAAAATGATGAAGTTAGATTTTAGATTACTTTACACTCATTTATTAATTTGCATCAACCCAGGACATCAGCAGGTACAGAGGACCTGCCTTGTGAACATGTGACTGGAGAAGAATGGATTCATGAAGAGCTTCTCGGACTAAAATTCCGCATCTCTCCACACTCATTTTTTCAGGTGTATCTCCTGACCATTTGACTGTCATCATATCGTTTCCTGAGAATTAACACTATGATAGTTAAAAGGCAGCATGCATGAAATTAATACTTTAAGCTTAAATGTCCTGCATTAGTGCTATAAAAATGCATATTATTATGATTTTTGATACTTCCAGACAAACACCCCTGCTGCTGAGGTTCTGTACTCTGCTGTGGGTGAATGGGCTCAGCTGGACCAGGACAGCACTGTGCTGGATGTGTGCTGTGGAACAGGAACCATCGGCATCTCACTGGCAAAGGTGCGGCGTTTGCTTCTAAAAATAAACAAAAATATGAGTGAACAGAGCAACAGTTAGCCTTCTAAAAAACTTGTGTGTTAACAGAGAGTGAAGAAGGTGATTGGCATAGAGTTGTGCCAGGAGGCAGTGGAAGATGCTAAGGCTAACGCTGAAGCTAATGGTAGGCCAGAGTGACATTATCACTGTTTTTCTCTCTTCATCTCCCATGATCTACTCCGATTTCAAATGTATATTTTCAGGCTTGACCAATGTGGAATTCCACTGTGGAAAGGCTGAAGACGTGTTCCCCACTATTCTAAATGCTGTTGTATCCCCCAGCGTCACGGCAATCGTTGACCCCCCAAGAGCAGGGCTGCGTACGTACAGTACTCTCATAGTATCTTGAACCTTTACCTTGCAGACATGGTGTTTTTATGTTCTCTGCCCAAATATTCTCACTTTTACTAGATTCCAAAGTTATTCTAGCAATCAGAAGAGCAGAGCATCTTAAGAGACTCGTCTACGTCGCCTGCAATGCCAAAGCAGCTATGAACAATTTTATTGAGTAAGTTCATTATTTTCTATGTATTTTACATCATATTCAGGATAGGGACATCCAATCTATTGTGAATTGATAGCAGTTTGATGGGCATTACATGTCAGAATGGAAGTGATTTGTCTGAAAAGGTTGAAACATGAGAGGGATTTGTGACATTACCCAAAAGGGAAATCAGAGGCTTATTATATTTTGATAAAAGACAAACTTTTTCTCCTTGCACAATGTTGACTTTCCTCTAAAAATATATTCCCATTTAACTCTACCTAGAGCTGCAGGCACATCAGACCCTACTCCATTTGAATCAGTTATTCTAAAACGTATGTTTGTCTTGAAGTCTCTGCAGAGCTCCTTCTAACCGTGTGCGAGGAGCCCCCTTTCGTCCAGTGAGAGCTATGGCTGTTGACCTCTTCCCCCAGACCATGCACTGTGAAACCATCCTGCTGTTTGAAAGAGTGGACTACAGCTCTAACACTGACATTTAGACCACAGAGACCTGACGCTCCATAATCTTTACCATCTACCATGCCGGCGTGGCTGTTTCGTTCCCATTAAAACGCTTTGACGGTAGTGCTTATGGGAAAATTTCAAATGTTCACTTCAGATTTCAACTGACTTGATTAAAGTACTCAAAACATTACCACGTTTTTTTTTTATATAGGCTTCTTTTTTTACCCTCTTTTGTTTGCATTAAAACAACCCAGTAAAAACAGCACAAGTTATCAGTTTCTGGTCATCAATTTATTTGTATAAACAAATCACTGCGTATCAGCGATTGTGTTGCATTAAAATAACATTTTAATAGGCAGCATTACTTGCAGCTAAATCATCCAACATTATCCCTTCAATGATAGCGACTAAAAAGCACGCATTTCTTCAGACAACTAATACACACTTAGCAAGACACTCCAGACGTTTATTGGGAAGGCGTATTCTCTAAGCACTCTTAGTATGGCAGCAGCAGCCTTGTGCTCATGGAAAACAGGAAAGTGCCTTCACAAACGCAGTTAACATTCAGAAGCACACAAACTAAAATACTAGATTCAGTGACAGTGCACTGCAGTTTTTAGTCGCTGTCCCAAGAAAACCTGATCCCCCCCACTCCACTCCACTCCGTGTTAAACAGACTTTGACCTTCCGGTCATATATTAAGGCTAGAAAAAATTTTTCTCCCGACAGTTTCAGGGGGAAGTGGTGGTTTTCTTTAAACAGGGACCATATTTTAATCCAGCAGTTATTGCATTTTCTTTATTTTGTTGCATTTATATAGGTTTATATATATTTAATATCTATGCAGCAATATTCCGTAATGCATAAGACTTAAAGCTTTGGTTCACACTGTTCTTCGAGCTATTGAATATAATGACATGATCTGATTTTCTTCGAGGTACGGAGTTACCGCCTTTGTTTTTAGGTAGACTGCCTTGTGAAATAATGAATATGGTTCAAACTATTTAATACACCAACATAAGAGCTGAATAAAATGAGCACACAATCACGCACTGCAGCAAATGACCACAAAACCTTACCAAAGAATTTAAGACAAACAAAAGCACATGCGTAGAAGGCTTTTTTTTCTTCTAAAATATCAAATGCAAGAAAGCCAGCATGACTCCACAGCAAATACGTATTGTATAGAAAATACATATCGTATAGCATTACTAATGCAGACTCAAGTGAGGCATTTCCCTTTTGAAACAAGGTACCATCAATAAAAGGGGTGGGCACTAAGGCAACATACCATTTTTTTTCTACTGAAGACTGCCAACCAGTCTCTAATGCAAGAGATAGATTATATCACAGCATAATGAAATGTAACAACAAAAAGATAACTAAAGTAGCACACACTAGCATCCTATCTCCCTGATGTCTTGTTCCTCAACTAACTACAGGACCTCAAACACTTGTGCTTTCTCTGCAGTGCTTTCTGAAGCAACTGGTCAAGATAAGCATTGGTATGCTTCACTCCTTATTTAAAACAAAAACACAAAGGTTGTTCATTTCACACAAGCAAATAGTTCCAACATTAGTGCATTTCTTAACAGCAGTTGGAAGGGAAGTGTGCACAATGAAATGCTTTAGAAATGCCACATTTAAATGCTTCACATGCCAATAAGAACTAGACATGGCCACTGAAGAAAACCCACACGCTTTAAGCCATTATGAACCCAATTTCCCAGATAAAAGATCACGTGCACCGTGCATGCCACAGAAGCTGACAAAGGAACAAATCCTTGTAAAATGACAGGCGCATCAGTTATGAGTACTGCGATAGTCGGTCATGTGCAATCTGTAATTCCACAGTAAATATGAAATTAATTTGCCGTTTAAGAAGGGAAAAAGCAACATTTTTATTAACATCTAAAAGCCACAAACTTAAGTTTCTGTAATATTTAACATACATCATTTGTACGATTTACCTTCATATAGGCATAATTATTGTCAACAGCCGTCATTATATTTGTGCACTTTCTGGAGCAGAAGTGCATCTGGAGGTATTTAATGCTTATTCTACCTTCCCTTAGTGCATGTATATGACTGTTACAGCAAATGTAACCCATACATTATGGGCAATAATTGGATTGGGAATAGAGCTCATAAATTTGATAAAAATTTAACTAGTATTGCCATTTTGCACTCCAAAGTAATGCATAAGTCAGTAATGGTAGGATGACCTTTTGTTATAGAACTATTACCATTGGTCAGTGCTATCTGCTATCACAATATGCTGAACGAGGGTTTGCTAGACGTCAACAGTACACAGAGGTTCACTCCCAGGTTGAGCCGACTCCATTACAGTCATCTTCGGCTTCTTTCTTGCCTCCTCCTGAAACCAATATAAAAACACAAATGAGTATGCACTAGAAAGATTTAATAAGCTTTTTAGCTGTCAATTTACTTTTTATTTATTTTGATTAACTGGAAGGCATCAGCTCATCCAAACATGTATTTTATCTTCAGCCAACTCTATTTATCTGAAGTACAAGATTTGGCTGGAAGAGGTCATAAATTTGTAGCTGTACCCTTTCTCGAGCCAGCTTCATCATCTCTTCTCGTAGTTTGTTGAGGATGTGAAGATTTGGCTTGTTCTTTTTGGCATACTGCTGAAGCTCAATCACGCTCTTATCAGAGTTCTCCTGAAGACGACGCAAGAATACAACATTACAACTTCTCAACCACACAAAATATTCCCCTCATATTTAATATCTTAAAATGCAGAGTGTGTTTTTGACAAATAACAGTGCTGACCTTCTTAACCATCTTGTTGCTTTCTCTGCCGTACATGCGCAGCAGTGAGCCCCAGTTCTTGACGTGAGGATGAAGCATTTGAAGAATCTTCTGTGAAGCCAGCTGCTTTCCAACCCTCTTATTTTTACCTGCAGTAATCAAGAGCAATAGCATTAGGTATGTTGTTTGTGATTCTAGTGCTCTAAATGAAACCTCAAGCACAAATACTCACACCACCCCCGTACAGTGTGCTTCCCGCATGTCATGACATATTCACTCTTTTGGTTCTTTCCTGGAATCACTTCAAACTTGATGCTGGTGTCACCCATGCCATGGTTTCTATGGAACAGACAACAGATCTTCAGCTGCTTTTCAATCAGGCATGAATCAGGACTCATGGTTGTATTAACAGCTGTGTTTCCTGTAATATTGAATTGTCGGTGTAATCAAATGACACCTATATCATAACATACCTCTTAAGGCACTCATGAAGGATCTGATATGGTGAGAGTAAACCTGCTTTGTTGGTCAGCTCATACACTCTTGAATCTTCAATATTGATATGATTAAAATACTGTGGGATTGGAAAAGAAAATAAACATCCATAAACACCACAAAGAACGAAACTGATTAAAGATAAAATCAGTAATTTTACTCAGAAGAGCAGTACCTCCAGTTCATCTCCCTCTATGGGCTTCTCCTCAGACGTCTGCTTCACAAAGTCAGGAATGAGGATCTCCAGTGTTGCTCGAGCTGTCACAAAGAGGATGACAGTATAAATACTTATCTTCATCTGAATCTTTAACATTAGCAAGAATTTTTTATGAATGGATTACTGCAATTATTTATTTTACTGAAGAATATAAGAGGGAAAAGGTACCAGCTTTATTCTTGGCGAGTTTTTTACTACTTGCTGTTCCTGTGCCATATGTAACACCGTCTATAATGACTGAGGCTCCGAAAGGTTCACTTGGGTTTTCTAGGCAAAAAAATATATATATATGTATATATATGAAAAGCAACCAAACACATATACAAAGTAAAATCATTGCGCCACAACAGGCCATATATTAATGCACATTTTATCATGGTTAGAGAGAGCTGTTAGTTACATCAAGCCCAAAATATCATTAACCAAACTGTTCAGCATGGCCTTAAGTGGTTTACTGCTTTCACAACAGCATTATAACATTTTAAAGTACATCGATAAAAATCGCAACCCATTTTTCCACCAAGCGAACTCACTAGCATAACTGTAAATGCTACTGCAGATATGCAGACTCGGCACACAAATAATTCAACATGCTTACTATTGGCTATTTTTTCACAGCTTCAAACTTTTTCTCAATTATAATTTTAGTCTTACGCTTTATGCTACTTACCACATTCAAAAAAGTTGTAAACTGGTCGCACTTTGAGTACTCTTTGCATATACTCGTGTAAAATGCACACTTCTGACTTCCCGTTGGGGTTGATGATAAACTCTGAAATATAAATACAGTCGGTCTGGTTAAAACACCACATGTTGTGTACTAAATTCATTAGTGTAATGACTACGACAAGTACCTTTCTTTGTTGGGGCGTCTTGTACGGAGAGTGTGATGAGCTTCTGATTGGCTGGTAGGATGGGCCTCTCAGACTCGGCCTGCTTCCTCTTCATGTCCCGGTTGAACTGTCTGCGCTCAGCCCATGTGCGAAACTTCTTCACCGTCACTTGCTCAAAATCAAAGCACTTCTCTAAGTAGCTTCTAAACTCCTCAATGTCTGGGATACAAGTCACAAGAAGAGAGGGTTTAAAAACCATGTGGATTTTAAACAGTTATGCACAAGAGAGAGTGAAACCTCAGCCTCTTACCAACAGACTCATCTTTGCAGACCTCCACCTTGGCTTTGACCTGGCCCAGCGCTCCCTGTGCAGTATCATTGGCTTGCCTGTCCTTCCCCTCTGAAGATCTTCCTGGCTTCACGAGGTCAAGCGCTGGATCTTCTGATGTTGGTCTGCCTGTCGGCTCTTCTGTGGCAGTAGAGTCAGGCTCGTCGGCTCTCTCCAATGTGATGCCCTCATCCCCAGATTTCACTGGAGACACCTCTGCAGTTGGAGTCACCTCTCCATTCCGTTCCCTTTCTTCTTGATCCTTCATTTTCTTATAGTGCAAGCAGGGAATGCTACTGGTTGGTGGGTCATGTTTCTAGGGGGAAAAGGAGTAGAACACAGGGATGAGGTGCATGAGAATACAAAGCATTCAACTTAAGCAGAAATTATACAATAAGACAAATATCATAAAAGTATCATATCTTAAGAGGAGTCAAACCAATTACCCTAATGCTTCCTGTTCCAAGGAAGTAAGGTCTAGACCATGTTACAACTCTGGTTTCCCGGTGGAGGTAGACTGGAATGCCAGAGTTATGGAATGTCATGATCCACCCATCGGGTAACGGCTCAGTTGGTGGACGCCCGCGACCTTAAAATAATAAAAATAATTCAAATCAATAATAATAATAATAATAATAATAATACCTAAAAAAAAGCTAGTCACCTACAATCCTATGTAGGATTTTAAATGGTTTGAATTCAGTTTTATTGTTAAACTAAAATGAAAAAGTAAAAAAAAAATAAAGTAAAATTAGAAAACCTGAAATTAAAATACATTCTCTGATATATCAATTTCCACAAAAATATTAAGCAGCACAAAAGTGTTCAACACTGACAATTTTTTTTTCTGAGCACCAAATCGGCATACTAGAATAATTACTTTAATTTTACTAATCAATTTTAATAACTAGAATTTCACTTTAAAAATATATTAAAACAAAAATATTTTTTTAATATTTACAGTATTCTTGATTAAATGCCTTGGAGAGTATAATTTTATTTTTACAAACTTTAATACAAGTTTT